TGTGTGTGTGTGTGTGTGTGTGTGTGTGTGTGTGTTTTTAGGGTTTATATATATATATATCAGTTTGATATCACTCCTCTATTGTGTTAAAATAGGAGGTGATACTATTCTTCAAACATTCGACTGTATTTGCATCTAGGTCTATACATGAAACGGTATGTAACAAACATACAAATAAAGTCACAGAATCCTATTTGCATGTTGCGCTTTTATCCTGCGCCCGATCCTATGCGTGCGTTAATTATAATTCGATATTAGGTCACTTCGATGTACAGTTACAAACTTACATACTAATTCAGGTATTTCAGATAAAGAGCACGTAAAATGTTTCAAGATTGAACGCATAGCTTGGAAGCAGATATGTCGAAAATGTCGTTGTGCACCGTTGGCCCATGTACCTAAATAAGCTATGCACGAAAGTACGACTAGAGAGTGGGGCTGAGAGGGGAAAATGTAAACAACAGTTGGTACTCACTGCAGCATAAAATCTCCTGATAGTCTGTGGCATTATCTATAAATTTCCAATACCCTCCGGTAACAAACGTTGTGGACAATTAAACTTGTTTAGAAAAAAGTTCACCTAGCCGGAAATCGAATCCGGGTCTACCCCGTGGCAGGGGGCAATTATACCACTAAACCACTAGGTATTGAACCAATGTGTATTTTTAATTTTATATTAATTATGTTTGTGTCTGATATCGTATCAATTGTGGCAAGATGATCTAAATATTTACTGCTAATCCTGGTAGATGGTAATAGAAAAGTAGACAATAATATATCGTCCTTTTGGTATGCCAAAAAGGAATTTACAACCAATTGACGTTCTCTTACAATAAGCGTCACCTTATGTACATGAAACTTTTTCGTGTGAATTTGTATGTAATGATGCGAGTGTCCCTTTACGTTAAATATCCATCCGATATTGACATAGTATGCCATAAAATACTGATCGATTTACAACCTTCAGACCAGGCGAAATACACTTGATAAAAATATCGAACCCCCGTCAATCATTGAAACTATTGACCTGTGTATATGCATCAATACGGACAACTCACGATAAGACTACAAAAGTTAATGCACATGTACACATTTGCAATTGACTGCTTGTCAGTCAGTTTAGTATTAGTATCACCTTATGTGTTATTGTAGTGCTTTTGTAGGGAATCCGTATCGAACTGTTTTGTGGTAGTCATGAACCTTGACTGGCAGTAAATGATATTAGGTTGTACCAATGACGCAAATTTGTACAATGTATGTCAACACTGTTATTTTACTCCCCTTTAAAACCTTTCTGGTATGGTATTAGTACCATTGACTCTGACATCCCTCGAGTGCTTGCACGCGTAGGCATCACTAGCTAGACTTGCGGTCTCGGTATGTTGCTCCTTTTCTAAAGCAAACAGTGCGTGCATAAATATTCGACTGACAATTCTTCAGCGGAGCATGTATTGGATAATTATTTATCAATGCGCATACAATGCATATAATCATAACATCTACATGTAAATTGATTCACCTGCGCACGGACGATCCTCACATGGATGCTTCTATTGTTACTTCCTAGCTGTGCTCGAATGCAGGCCACTTGTATATTTATGCTCGTTTCCCCTCTAAATAAAAGCATGCGTGGTGAGCGAAAACTTACCGTCACTAGTTGACCGTACGTTGTGACTAGTTGTCAGTTTATATCAGAGTCCAACTTCAATACGGATGGTTCACTCATAACTTCAAACCTTCAGTTTATATTTATTTCAAGTGTCAACAACTAAGATCGAAGCGACGTTGGCTCGTTTCAGGTACATTCACGGCGACATTAATCTAACAAATCCGACTTTTATTAAAAGAACCCCTAATTCTAAAAATCAATACTATAGGCTGGTGCAGTGACTCTGACAACACTTTGGACGCCATCACTTGACACTTAGCTCTAGATCCCAATTAAGGAATAGCCAGGTAAAACCAGTTGGCTTGCCAGGATAACTCTATTTGTCCTACTGCACAGTATGTTTCCTTGCTCTGTATTTATTTGGTTGTATACAAATGCTCCTTTTAAAAATTTGAGTCACTGTATTAATTGTTTGGTGTAAAACATCTATTTTAGAACAACTACCTACTGTATACTATAGAGTTCCCTCTGAGGTACAATGTATAGTACTATTTCATTATCAAAATCATGAGATGTTTTTCACCACTATATTTCTTTTAAGGCTGTACGTATTCCTGTACATTTTTAAGATTTTATGTAAAAACGTGCTTCCACTGCGTCAGAAACTTTTAACTGTTAGCATCTCGTACAGTATCTTAAAGAGGAAAATTACTTACCGTTAG